GCAAGTATTATCCTGATACTCAAACCAGAGAAAGACCCAATCGAAAAAGAGAACCACAGGCCAATCTCCTTAATGAATATAGATGCAAAAAGGCTCAATAAGATACCAGCAAACAGAATGCTGCAAATTATAAGGAACATTATACACAATAACCAAATAAGATTCCTCCCAGGAATGCAGGGATAGTCAACATGTGCAAATCAATAATGTAATATACCATATCAACAGAGCCAAAGACAAAAATCACATAATCATCTGAAAAGATGCAGAAAAAGCTTTTGACAAAGTCCAACACTCATTCATGATAAAAAAAAACCTACAGAAAATCAGAATAGATGGTCTTTATCTCAATCTAATAAAAGCCATGTATGACAAACCGGCAACCAACATCATCATAAATGTACAAAAAGTGAATCATTTCAATTTTAAATCATGAACAAGGCAAAGATCCACTATCACCAATCCTATTCAACATAGTTCTGGAAACTAACCAGAGCAATTAGACAAGAGAGAGAAATAAAATGAATAGGAGTAGGAAAGCAAGAAGTTATATTATCATTACTTGCAGATGGCGTGATACTCCAAATAGAAGACCCCAAAAGCTCCACCAAAAAACTTCTACATTTAATAACCAAATTCAGAATTACAACTGGATATAAAGTCAACACTCACAAATCAACAGCATTCTTTACACAAAAAACTGACTGAAAGAAAAATTAGGGAAACCACACCCTTCACAATAGTATCCAAAAAAAGAAGTACTTAGGAATCAATCTAAAAAAGGAAGTAAAAGATCTACATATCAAAAATTACAGTACTGTGAAAAAGGAGATCAAATAGGATATCAGAAAATGGAAAGATATCCCTTGCTCATGGATAGGAAAAACCAACATAGTGAAAATGGATATACTCCCAACATAAAGTTTTTTAAAAGCTACATTTTAGAGTTTTAAATGTTGCAACATTTCATTATTAAAATGTTGCAAATCTCTACCAAATTAAATTTGACTATAAATACAACTTTTCCATATTTCCCAAATAATTTATCCTAGTGTTCATGGGAGGGAAGGTATACTATTTGAGGTGATATAAAAACAGGCTTATTTGATTTCAAACATAAATTTATTTGAGAGTCCTCACAGTCATTCAATTTGCCCCAAATTAATCAAAATTTAAGGATATCATGCTGCTTTTCTTACATCACAGACAATTTACTAACAACTTAGGTCTTGGTAGGAAATAGGCATGTCTGATTGTCTCTAATACAACTTGAGCACAGTGAAGATTATTAGCTGGGTTCTTAATGCTATTCTCCTTTTTGAAATTACTGAAAATTTACCCAAGTATAAAATAAAAGAATACATGATAAAGCAGAGATAAAATAATTGTAGATATTTAGAGAGAGAGAGAAAGGTGACTTTTTAAAATGAGAATATTATCCAAATAAGCCAAATGGACAACAATAAAAACTTAAAAGAGCACAATCTATGCTTCATATAAAAGACAGTGACCTACTAAGCGTGCTTTTGCATGATACCTAAGTACCTTCACACATAGGAGTACACCTGGATTTCTGTTTAATTTATTGACTTTGAATGAAAGTAGATTAACTGACAGAAAGCTTAATGGTGGAGTTTTTGTTGTTTCATGACTGCAGTGTTGATTATTCATGAAATTATTTTATTTAACTATTTTATTAAGATTTAATAAAAGACCCTAAACTGAAAGAAGCAAATGATCAAGCACTCTATTTCCAAGGTAGCTAATATGCTAGAGCAGCAGAAGATAACTTGTAGGCAAAAAAGGCCTTTCAAGGATTCCCATAAGCTAATAAAGTTCTCTGATAGACTCTGACATTTTGCAAATCAGGCTACTTTTTAAAGAAGGATTATACATGCTTTGTAAAGAAAATATAAATAAAAGAATTGAAGAGATTAGCAATATGTTGTCTTAATATAGTTATTTGGCCCCTGGGCAGAATTTCAGGTGGGTTATCTGACAGAGATAGAAGAAGACGTTTGAAGGATTTGCTCACATATGTAAGGCATTTCTAGACAAGGAGAAGTGAGCACCCTACTCCCCAGCTGGATGCAAGCTGAGTTGCATAAACTCTTAGGCACAGCCTTGCACACCAACAAAGAATTCTGTGAGGGACATTTTGGAGGAATGGAAAATTTGCAGGAAGTTGATAGAGGCATTTATAGTCATGTCAGAACGGTGGTGACTACTTCCTGAAGAACTCTGAAGGGAGAATGACTAGTAGCCCCATCAAGGAGAGGGCTGAAGTAACACCAAATGTTCTTCTTTGGACAAAAGTTGTGTGAGTGGAATGGATGTTATGGAAAGTCTGACAGCATGTAAGGTAACCAGCCAAAAACAAAATGAAACAAAACAAAACAAAACAAAGCAAAAAGAATCCCTCAGGCCAAGGATGTAGTTCAGTGGCACAATGCCTGTTCGGCAAGCGCAAGGTCCTGAGTTCAATTACCAGTACCAAAACAAAAACAAAAACAAAATGAAATGTAAATTGGTGACAGTGTTTGGATAATAAGACATTTCTCTATTGCCGGAAAGACAGTAAAAAAAAAAAAAAAAAAAATCAAAAAACAAAACCCTTAGTAATTAACATAAGATGGGTTTTCCACAGTTTAGTTAAGGAGCAAGAAATGAACACCTGGGAGGTATATAATATGAATATCTGCTTAAAGGTATTATTGATAGCAGAATCTTAACAGCTCCAGTTTTCAAGCACCTTGTTCCTTCTCTTTGTTATTCTAATTTACCCAGTGTCTGGGCTGAGGGCTCTACCATCCTGTCATAGAGGAAGAGAGAGAGAATGTGCCACAGCCGAGTTCCCTACTTCAGAATCCTGGCCTGAGAAAAATATGCTAATTCAATGTGACTTGAAATTTTAAAGTGCATACAGCATTTTCAAATTCAGCATTTATATTTCAATCAACTTAATTATCAAAGTGAGATATCTTGTAAGACTAAAAGTAACTGGAAATCTATGAGCTCTACTTGAAATTTTTAAAAAGATGAGGAATGGGAGATCCAAAATAGCAATTTTGAAGAGTTTTTAAGAAATTGGTCACTTTCCTTTTGAGTTCAACAAATTGAATATTTGCGGTAAAATGATTATAAAGTAAATAAAACTATATATTCTTGCTTCATTTGGTCTCAGATTATAAACATGTCTGCCAATCTATATAAATTCAAAAATGTCAGTATACTTATTATTTTTCTATATATTTAATTAATCTTTAACATGAAAATTACATGTATGTATGGTGTACAAATTCCTGCTTGGATATAAGTATAAATTGTGAAATGGCTAAGTCAAGTTTTTGTATCCCTTGACCAATACCTACTTCAAAATCCACCTCTCATCCCCTGGTGACCTTCATTCTACCTTCTGCTTGTATGAGTTAAATTATTTGCAATTCTCTATGTAAATGAGAACATTTTTCTTACTCAACCTGATGTCCTCCAGTCCCATCCATGGTGTCATAAATCACAGAATTTCCTTATTTTTCAGGCTAAAATATATATCATTTTCATATACTGTTTCTTTACCCATTGATCCCACTGATGGGCGTGTAAGCTGACTCCATAACTTCCCTGTTTTGAAAGGTGCTAACCTGTACATGACAGTGCTTGGGTCTCTTCAAAACACTGACTGGAAATCCTTTGAATATACACTGAGTGATGGGTTTTGTGGAGGAATGTTAACTCCATTTTAACATTAAGGAAAAACTCCGTTCTCTTTATGACAAGGTATAAACTGATTTATATTCTACCAACAGTGTACAAGATTTTCACTTTCTGCTCATCCTCCCCAACACTCTGTGACACTTTTTCTTTTCTTTTTTTTTTTTTTTGACACTTTTTCTTTTTGATGATAGTGTCCCTGGCAGTTGTGAGGTGAGATCTCATTATGGTTTTAATTTGCATTTCTCTATTGATTAGTCAAGTTGAAACTTTTTCCTGTATCTTTTGAATAACATAGGGAAGTTATACTCAAGTCCTTTGTCTGTTTTTCAGTCAGTTTGATTTCTTGCTAAGGTGTTTTATTTGTGTGCGTGTGTACATGTGCACTTCTGTGTTTTCCACATATTTCACATATTAACCTCTTCAGAAAATGGCTTGCAAATATTTTATGCCAACTGATAGGTGCTTCTCTCTTGATAACATCTTTGCTGTAAAGGCATATTTTAAGTTAATGTAAGTTCATTCCTTCTGTTTTTGCTTTTATTGCTTGTTTTTTCCAGTTAAGTGTAAAAAATCTTTACACAGATCAATCTCGTGTAGCTTTTCCCATTATCTCAATGTCAAGGGCTACATTTAAGTCTTTAATCCAATGATTTCTAACCAAAAGAAAATCCAAAACAGAGTGGGAAAAAGACAATATGTTTAATAAATGGGATTGAGAAATCTAGATATCCATAGCTAGCAGAATAAATTTACATAACTATTTACTACATGTATCTTAAATGACATCTTTATCATAGGATAAAATATTTCATAGTGTACATTTTATCTGAAAGTTTTCTTTTTACTTTTTAGTTATCTCTTAATTTGGTTACACTGAAAAAGAAAATTAAGATAATTAAAATATTTAAGGTAGATATTTAGGATAATTGCATAATTATATATAAAATAGAAAACATTACTTATATTCTATCATTATGTATTATGTATATTTGTAAATTATATTGTACATAGTCTATCTTATTATAATATATGATATATTATCTTCTACATAGTACAGTACACATTTTAAGGCTTTTATTGAACATTTATTTATATTTGCAATGGTTAGAACATAAGAAAGATCAATACTGGTAATATTACACACATATGAATATGCTTTTCTTTCTTTTTTTTTTTTAATTTTTAATTTTTTGGTTTTTCTCCGGTACCGGGAACCAAACTCGCGACCTTGCGCTTGCCAGGCAGACGGTTTGCCACTGAGCTAAATCCCCAGCCCCTGAATATGCTTTCCATATACCCCTATTGTATAAAAGTTATATTACTATTATACATTTACAGAAATACAAATCTACAAGAAAATGCTAATGTAAGATTACAGGAGAAACAAAAATAAGTTTTGAAAAACAAATCAGCATCTTTATGCATGAACAATGTTCAGTATTTGTATTTTTTAATTTGAGCCTGCTGTTCCTTCTCTCCTCCGAAGATGTCTTTGTTCCTTTGTGTTGGTTTGAGTCCATCAATGTTTTAGTGTTGTTTCACAGTGCAAAGCTGTTATATGTTTAGATAAAATTTGTATAAGTCATAAGTTGTCCAGACCATCTTAAATCCATTTAAGAATTGTTTCACACACTTCAGTAACAACTATATCAAAAAGACATGTACAACATAAACACAGAGAGAATCTGTTAGGATATTTAATCACATTTTTTACAATGAAGATGGATCAAGATAAGCTTATAGTCTTTGGATTTGGTTGCCATGGCTCTTTTTTAATTAAGTAGCATCACCTTGAAAATAGCACTATAAGGAATATATTATTTTCTTAGACACATTAAATAAATTCGTTTATACTTTTTTACTCATTTATCTGATCAAGTGTATGTTCCCAAGTCTAGGGATCTGAACTTGCCTTTCATTTTCTGAGAAAATTATGGTTTATTTTATTCCTTTAAAAAATGTAAGGAGTCAAAATCCAGGTCACCCCAATTTTATGAGATAAAAGCTAACTCAGAAAATAGAATAACATGATTTTTCCTCATTTAACTCTGAAAAATAAGTGCTTGGCATATATTGTCCCACTGATAACAAAGAACAAAATATAGCTGGGTTATACATATATTCCTAATAAGTATAAATTTTCATCACCTCTAATCAAATCCAGAATATACTATTTAGAGGAGTCTTTCAAATAAAATTATCAAAACTCAAAGTCATAGAAATATGTATATATATATATATATATATATATATATATATATATATATATATATATACACACACACATACTAAATCAAATCCAGGATTGAAAAAAAAACTGTTGGTTTCTAACCTCAATGAAAGTCAGCTGAGTTTAAAAAAATATGAAACAAGGGATAGTTACATGTTAGTATATTAAGCTTGGGAATCCCATGAAATCTAGAGACTATTCCTTCTACTTTGTCCTATTTTAGATATTAATTTAGCCTTTCTGTATAAAAAGAGAGTAAAGTGACTCTTTCCTTTCAGACAGGGTTATGGCTTGTGTTTAGAGGTTCCCCCAAATTCTCATGAAGTCGCAGGTGAGGCTTTTTCAGAGGTGGTTTAATAATGCTAGGATCAAGGGTACTGGGACTAAGGGTCAGTGATTACTAAATCAATCCACTGATTGTCTTGGCTCCATCCTAATCATGGTAACCTGGATCCAATGTGAGGTACAGAAAGAGACTTGTCTTCTCTCTCTTGCTTGCTTTGCTACCTTCTCACCATGAACCGTTTCACCTCTACAATTCCGTCTGCCATGCCTCTCTGTCTTGGAGCCAGGTGATTAAGAACTGAAACCTCTATAAACTGAGACAAATGAAAATTTACCTCTTTAACTTTGGGTGCCAGGTAATTTTTTTCAGCAATGAGAGAAAAGTAACCTAAGACAGTTTAAATTACTCTACTTGGTTGCATAGCTACACAATATAACCAGTTACCAAAAATACTGTTCTCGTCTGGTAGTAACTCTAATGCAAATTCTCTAAACTATTAATCAACCAAGCTTTATTATACTTCTCAATATGAAGAAACATTTATTTCTTGAGAGTTTTGCAGGTTGTCCAAATGTCATCTTTGAATTAAATTCTGTGCCTTTAATCTTACTCTCTTGTAAATCCATATTAATAATGTACTTGCTATGATAATTATAAAGTATAATTCACAAAAATCATAATTAACTTATATAACTCTGGAAAATTTTGACCACTCAAGGAGTCATTTTTCCATTTTTATCATTTCTGTATTAATGGTTTCAAACATTACTTCATTTTTTGGAGAGACAATTACACATTCCTTTGTAAATCACAATGGATTTCATGTTTATTTTACATTATGCTCATGAAAGTTCAGTCAGATAGGTTTCATTATCTTTATCTCAGTAAAACTAAATGGGTTGCTTAGACTTTGAGCCAGAGCAAGTCAGAGATATCTTCCTAAAGCCCAAGTCAGATCAAAATCTTTTCACAGGTTTCAACTTGCGTATAGAACTCAGTTGCAAATGTATTAACTAACAATTCTGGAAATACTTTGTCTTGATTCTAAACTTCCTTATGGTATCTCTCCCTAAACTCTGCACTCCAACCATCTTAGACATATCACCATTGTTCCAATAAAATAGACACCTTCATAGCTCTGACATTTACCTCAGGTTGTTTTTCCACTAAAAAACTATACACTCTTCTCTACTTTTGAAGTGCTATCCACTGATCAAAATTAAGTGCAAGTTGTCATCTTCTCAGCAATTTCCTCTTCTCTCGCTTGTATTTTGACATTTTCGTGTAAGAACATCCTTGTAAGCATAATGAATATAATATTACAATAACTCAATTTAATTTTATTATATTGTAGGTAAAAACTCTTACCATAGTAGAATAAATTTAAGTGGGAAAAATATCTTCACAGGATTTAGGAGAAAAAGAAGCTCAACAGTTGTTCATTAAAATCAAACTTCTGTTTTTCATAATCACTATGTCAAAATGGTTATGGTATTTTACAGGGTAATCAGTAAAAAATAGAGTCATATTTCTTGAGCAGTAACTTTACGGCAGGTGCTATACTAAGTTAATTATTTATTTTACGTCACTGTTGTGAAATCCAGCAGCATCACACCAATCCCCACGATGTCCTGGATACTGAGTTGGTGATTACTAAAAGTCGGTTTTGCTTAACCCCAAACTTTCCTGTGCTCAGTGGGAGGATCTAGCAGACAAGATGATAGACCCTACAAGTTTGAACAAAAGAAAAATTATTGAGTGGTTGATCAACTGAGGAATAGAACCATAGATTCTACAAGATAAATCATTTTACATCATACTCTTTTAATTAGTACTTTCAGTATTTTAGAAAACCAGTCATTCAGTTTCAAATATGGCATTCTTGTTAACTCAGAATGATTTTATCTTCTAACACCTATAAACTTTATTATAGTTTTATATTTATTTAAAAAAATAAAATAGTAAAGAAAGCTCTCATATATCCCTTGCCTTATTTCTCCTAAAAGTAACACTTTATATTAGAATGATGCATTTGTTAAAATTACTGAACTAATATTAATAATTGTTATGCAAACCCTGACTTTATTAACATGTCATTAGTTTTTCCCTAATGTTCTTTTTTTTGCAAAGAGAATCAAAAACTGATGCCACATTGATTTTATTTATCATCTTTCTTAAAGCTTCTGTTGGCTATCACAGCTTTTCAACCTTTCCATGTTTTTTATGACCTTGACGACTTTGAGGCAGAACAGTCAAAAAATTTGTAGGATGCTCCTCTATTGGAATTTGTTTTTCTCATGTTTGGTTTGAGGTTATGGGTTTGGGCGAGGAAGGTTATTGAAACAAAGTAACATTATCATTGCATCATATTAAGGGTAATACCTGGCAAAATGATTTATGAGTGTTAATGCTGTCCTTTATCACCTGCCTGGGAAGCATTTTTCTTCTTTCTTCACTGTAAAGTTACTTTTTAAAAATCCTGTTTCTGTACTGGATTCTCTGGAAAGAGGTTGTCAAGTGCAGCCCACACTGAGAAGTGAGGATGTCTCTTCCTCCCGAGAGTGGAATATTTTCATAAAATACAATTATCCTTCTCCATGGGAGACGTCCGCTTCTCCCACATTTATTCAATTATTTATTTAAACTCGTATATACTCACATATATTTCTTTTAGATATTGGATTATGATCCTGTATAAGTTCACTTATTTTGTTTTTTAACTTCTTGTACCTCTTTTAGTTGGTTCCTGTGCATTATTTCCACATCCCAATTTCCGCCAATGCTTGTGTGTGTGTGTGTGACGCGCATATGTGTAGATTTAGTGTTGATATACTTTCTGGACCTATAACATACTCTAATCACAGTTTTGTATGGACTATCACAGCTCTAAAATCTGCCGTTTCTTTTTGGTACCAGGAATCACTCTTTATTGAAGAAGTGAATTACAATCTGAGATCTGGCTGCTATATGCGTCCATGGCTACTAGGATATCATTTCTTTCAGGCTCTTTCATCTAAATGAGCAAAGAACTCCCTGTATGTATATTAATCTTTCTCCTATCTGTTTACATTTATTAAGAAGTATTTCTACATGCAACCATCTGTATTTAGCTAAATACCAGTTTTTACTTATGTTTTCAAATGAATTCTGCCACTGCACAGCTCACCCTAACTTCCTCTCCTTGCTTATGCTAAATTCTTTTTCCAACAATGTGTGAGAACCCTGACTCTCACCATGGGCTTCCATTTTCCTTAATTGATTAATTCTATATACATAGATAGCAGTACCAGAATCGTAAAACCTGTATCCCAATGGAAAGCTATTTTATCAATTAGGGTACAAGTTTATATTTAATTCTTTTGCCCTGTGTATTTCACTCAGTCCTAAAGTTACTTGTCACAGTATGTCCATACCTTCCACCTAATTATTGAGGTTGTTTCATGGGTTTACAATGTTCTTAGACTCTTGCATGACAGCCTGAATGGGCCTGGGATTCCCTGGCCTCCCAAATAATTTTTGCATATATTAATGTTCAGTCTTTGTGCTGTAAAGATTCACAGATTTTGAACATACAAAATGTCCTGTATTCTTTATTAAGTTATCATTGAGAATACTTTTGTGCCTTAAAGATTACCTGTGTACTTCATTTCAGCATTTCTTCCCCCAGTACATCTGGCAGTTACTGAGTTTTCACTGTTTCTATAGCTTTCCTGTTCCAGAATGTTATATAATTGGAGCCACATACCATGTATTTTGTCCAGAAAGGAAATGTATATTTGAATATATTGTTACATCAGATTTTTATATAATGCTGTGTAAATATCTGTTCATGTTAACACAGTTATAATCAGCAGTTTTTTACATCAAGAATCCAAATATTAGAAAATATCCTTAATATGTAAATGGGTTGCATTTTCTAATCTGAGCTCTACTTTTTATAACTTTTGAAATGATGTACAATGTTGCACAGAAGTTACATGCACTTATACCACTGGAAAATACTGATTTAGAGCCTGATCTATGAAGCTGTGCTTGAAGCTCTGTGGCTTGCATCAGGAACACTCAAGGATTTATAGGTGGATATGTGCTTGGATGCATGGACAACTGAATCAGGTCCCTGGCCACAGCCAAATGCACATGCAAGGTTTGTGAAAGTGCTGCGTTGTCCCCAGCTGCATGAATCAAATGAGGCCTGCATGATTTCTAAAACTTGGTGATGAAAATACTTATAAGGAAAAAGTACCTACACATGGATATTTCTAAAGTACAAGTAAATTGTAGGAAAACAAAGTATATATATATATATGTGTGTGTGTTGTGTGTGTATTTATGTGTAAATTTACATATAAATATATACAAACAGTCACCAATTACAGTGGTTTGACTTTTGACTCTTGATTTCACAATGGACAGGCAGGACACATGAGAAATGATACCCTGACTTTTGATCTTTTCTTGGGTTAGCAAGATGTTATAAGATCTGTTTTTGTGGTAGTGGACAGCAGCAGTGAATCACAGTTCCCATTCATTCACATGATCAGGAGGGTGAATAGTCAGTATCTGTAGTGTATGGTGGTTATAATCTGTTTGGTGGGTTGCTTGTATTAAATGCTGTTTTAGAATATAACCTTACCACTAGTCAAGGAGCGTTTGACAAATTACTCTATAAGGGAATCACAAAATAGAGTAATACAGGCCAAACATGAAACACCCCTTATTATACTGTGATATATAATATGCTACATGAATTTGAAAGAATATCAATAGGGGCCAGATTTATTGGAAAGAAGAAGTACTCTATGAGACGCACATTCCTCTCCGGACTTGTTGATAAAGATCTAATATGTGCAGTAGAAACCATTAAAATGTATGAGTTTTATCAGTTCTGAGGAAACACTGCTTTGTGTTGAAATCAGTAAAGGGTAGAAATCACACAGCAGACTGTAGTCATTGTTAAAAACCATACCTCTAGGACATGATAAAGTGGAAGGGAGAGTATTTAATAGATCATCTATCACTTTTTCCCTTTCTTTTCTGTACCAGGAATCAAACTCAGGACTTTGAGCTTGCCAGGCAGGCACTGTGGCACTGAGCTATATCCCTGGCTGATTATCTATCATTAAAATATAAACATGTGATAATAAAGCAGGGATAAATTTATTTTTACAGAGTATGATTTAATTAACATAGTTCCTCACCAAATGCTTGACTGGTGCTTCGTCACTTGTCTAAAACTGAATATTAAAAACAATTGGTCTTTTAAGGATATGCATAAGTGCTTTAGATATTTTGATCAGGGAAAGAAAATGGGATCTCATATAAAATGGAACATAGGGTAACATGAAAATGCCAAGAAATGCAGTTCTGTGCAGGCAAATTAAGAAGTGATCATGCTCTTATTCTGTATACGTAAGTAATCCACACCACAAGAGGTTAAATGCATTGCTTCAGACTAAACAGCTAATAGATGATTGGCAAATGTGTGGAGAGTTCTTCTGTCCTCAAGCCCTGTCATCCTCCACGAAAGAATCCATGTTCCGATAAGGAGGACGGAGCCCACATTTTCCGCCCTGGGTTATCCACCTGGATCGACAGTATGACCACTCCTTCAACTGACTGACCCACAAATTAAAATATGGGAAGGGAGCAGCAAAGTCATATTTTATTACTAACATTTTGGTGATTTACTTCACATAATCCCCTCTTAGACTCACTCTTATCTTTGAGAAGATAAAACCTACCAGAGCAGAAAGGACATTCAAATACAAGTGAAGACAGTTCTTGATGGGTCAATGGTGTGGTGGCTATTCTTGGGGTAATTCTCAAGTGTTTTAGCTTCATAGCTGCACGTTTAGAAAAGGGTGAGCTCCAATGACCCTTTTTAGCTATTCAAGGATGAGATTTAGAAAGTTGAGAAGTTAGTATCGTTCTAAAATACAAACCCAAAATATTAAGGTGAATGCCAGAATCTATTTTTAAAATTTAATTCAGAAAAATTTCACCATTACCAAAAAAAAAAAAAAAAAAAAAA